AGGCCTAGGAATTCTAGCTAAGGGTCATCTATTCTCTAATAAATTTACGTCACTGTAAGAGTCTCAAAAACCTCGTCAAAAAAAAGATGAACGACCGCAGGCTTCAGGTCATTGTCAAAGCTGGATGACCTTCACTGATGCCAGACATTGGTTAAAACAGCAGTAGACTTTTGTAGTGTCCAAGCACTGCCAAAAAAATGCAGAGTGGACGTCCTTAAGCAATCTGTGCCGTGCTCCGGTATCACCACACAGTCTTCGAGGATGCGTTGCCGTAGCTACATCTGTTACAGAAGCAATTCTAAAGCAGAGCAGTTTTTTCCTGCATTGAAATGAAGAAAGAAATGCTCTTGGGGATGTTCCAAAAAAATTTAAAATATGGCAACCATCGCAAAATTTGGTCACGCACTGCACTACATGCGATGAGTAATCTTGGAATTTCTTTCATATGGTGCTTTCTGGAAAAGTCAGAAACACTCACAAATATCTTCAGCACTTTTGTAAACCGTCATCACGGCGCTTCAATTACGGGCCCTTCTGTTGAGGGCTTGAGGAGCAAACTGGCGACGCTTCCAGTATGTCCAACACTACTGCTGCTGCTGCGGAATCAATCTTCAACGAGCTGAAGATTGATTGGTTTTTCAAAGGGGAGCTTTCTCAGAACATGACTCTACCCACCTTGTTAATATTTATAAAATGTTTGGAGAAGTTAAAAAGCAAAGCAACAGGTTCGGGAAACACCGAAATTCGGCGCTGAGATGTAGAGTAGAACCTGCTGGAGCGAACGTTCATGTCCTGCTTCAAGCGCTCACCGTTTTAATCTTCAAGCAGCCCCGAAGCGCTGCACCAGTTCACTCGGTCGATGCAAATCGCCAGCTTTCCTGTTGACGAAGTGGTACTCAAAACAAGTCCGCCGGAATGTGCATGCGGTGCGAATAAAACAAAGAACGTGAATGTTGGTTGGCATCTGCATACCAACAATTCCTTCATGGAAACCCGTTAGTTAGCAGCGTGCTCACATGCGCCGGCTGCAGTGGTGCCTCCCTTCCCCCTCACTATCCTGAAGGTAATGACGCATCCTCCGGGTTGTTGCCATCTGAAGTGGTGCTCTGCTCCCTCCTCCACTGCACCGAATACATATATAAAAGCAGTGCGCAGAAGGGCCACCCATATCCATAGCATTACCACTGGTGGTTACTTTCAGCGGCAGCATGCACGAGGCGCAAGTTGTAGTGAGTATCGCGATAGGTTGCAGCACAATTGCAATCATCGCATGCTTGCTTGTCATTCCATCGATGTACAGCGCCATCAATGAAATCCACGATGAAGTGATGGATGGTGTCCAGGTACCACTAGTCATTTATGGGTCCATACCTCCTTTAATTCTGTTGAACTAGCATGTGATCTGTGCATTTTGCACTTCACTTTTAGCGATTTGCATGCAGCGCCGTAAACAGTTAGTAGCACTTTGCACACTCGAACTGAATTACACACTCATCCCGAAATCATCCTTCAACCGACTGTTCAAGAAAATGTTGGGTGTTCCTGGCTGGAAGGAAAATCAAAAACGAGGAGAGAGGAAAAAACCGAAAGCAGGTGTTTTCAAAGTAATGCATATAAAATTTGTTTTTCAAAAATAGTAACATTTTTTAAGAAATTTTTTGTTGCTTTTGTCATTCTCTACCTAATCCGGTGTTATACTGCGGCAGTTTTCTATTTGTTGTTGCATAATTTCTTTTTCGTTTTTTCAAAAAAAAAAAAAAAATAATTGACCAACGCACGGGCTGCCCGTGCAAAGATGCGTTCTTTGCATAGTTCGCCACTGATTTTTGTTGCTAACGGCACAGTTTTTTCCGGTAGATGCTTCACAAACTTTCAGACTGGCTACCAGGACTGTTAGGAAACACCTCTTCAAAATTCCAGTCTTCTAGCTTCTCAGGTTCCGAGTTAGCGACTTACCCGGAAAGAAATTTCACAAGCCCATACGTGGGAATGACTCATACCCGAGAGCTAGGTTTGAGCACATTAATACCCACTTGAAAGGGAAATATTCCTTTAAAATACAGCCTTCTAACTTTTCAGTTACCCGAGTTGGCAGCTTACCGGGAAAAGTTTTGGTGAGCCCGTAGGTGGTATCACGCATACCCGGAATCTGGG